GCCCAACAAGAACACAAGATTAGTAGCATTGAAACATGTTTATTATCATATGTGAAGCAGATTGCCAGTCCAGGTTCGATGCATGAGACACGGTTCTCAGGGCTGGTGCACTGTGATGACCCTGAGGGATGGGATGGGGAGGGAGGAGGGTGGGGTTTCAGGATGGGGAACACATGTACACCCACGGCTGATTCATGTCATTGTGTGCAAAAACCACCACAATACTGTAAAGTAATTAGCCTCCAATTAAAATAAAAATTTTAAAAAGTAAAAAAAAAAAATTAAAAACAGATGTCGTGCTACTTTGGGGGAAACAAAAGACAGGCTGTCAGTACCATTTCTGGTGCACTAATGTATCTAGACAAAACATAGAAGCACAGAAATTCTGGTGTAACAGGGATGAGAATGTCAGTAGGTGCTGAAGATCTGAAATAGAAGATCTGAAATAGGTGCAGAGTCTCTGGCAGGGTTGAAGGAAGTTGTCTCTCACCCAAGGAGACTGATACTTTAATTACAAAAACAGCGCCACAAAACATCCAGGAACACAAACTCAAAGTATCATGACAGCAACAAAGTATAGAAGTCTTCAGTATTCACATCCAAAGATGGCGATGTGTGATTTATCCAGTGAAGAATTCAAAACAGCCATTTTAAATAACTCGGTGTACTACAGAAAATACAGTAAGATAGTTGAACAAAAGCAGGAAAACAATAAACAATGGACAAAACAAGCAGTTTAATAAAAATGTGCAAATCATAAAATAACAGAAACTCTAGTGCTGAAGGTTCCCAGGATGAAATGAATAAATTCATTAAGAGCATGAACCACAGAGTCAAAAACACAGAGGAAACTGTGAGATAGATGACATATCAAAGTTATCCTGTCAAGCAAGATTAAAAATAAAATTAAAAAAAATTTTAAAAACAAAAGAATGTGAAAGAACAAAGAAAGGCCTCATGATCTATGCCACATTGAAAACAGAACTGATTTGCAAATTATTGAAGTTCCAGGAGGAGAAAAGGAGATGAGGCAGAAAATATATTTAAGAAGTGATGTTGAGAGCTTCCCAATTCAAGGGTGATATTTGAATATCTAAGTTCAGGAAGCCTACAGGTGACTAAACCAAATCAACTTAAAAAATCCTCTACAACACACATTATAATAAAGTTGCAAAAATCAAAGACAATAGAGAAAACTTCAAGCAGCTTGAGGAAAAAACAAACAAGCTAACAAAACAAAAACCTTGAAATTTACTAAGGAGCCTTCATTTGGATCTTAGCATATCTCTCAGCAGAAATCTACTAGGCCAGGAGAAAGTGGGATAATATATTCCAAGTGTTGAAAGAAAAAACTGTCAAAGATTTGAAAATATCGTTCAGAAAATAAAAGAATATAAAGATTTCACCAGACCAATAAATACTGTGGAAACAGAACACAACTAGACCTTCCTTGAGGAGGGCATGGCAACCCACTCCAGTATTCTTGCCTGGAGAACCCCATGGACAGAGAACCTGGGGGTCTGCCGCCCATAGGATGGCAAAGAGTCAGACAGAGCTGAGGTGACAGAGCAGGCACAAAGACCTTCCCTACTGAAACACTAAAAGGAGTTATTCAAGCTGAAGTAAAAGAATGCTAATTCATTCCATGAAGATACCTAGTACACTGGTAAATTTAAAAATTACTATAGCTACAATAATTTATTAAATTAAGTACACACTATAAAAATAGGCAAGTCATGACATCAAAAAAGATAAAATGGAGAAAGGTAAAAGGAATGAGATTTAATATGTGGTTGATGTTCACATATTATCAGCATAAAATACACTGCTCTCTATGTACAGTGTTTTAGGTAAATCTCATGGTAAACAAAGCAAGAATCCATACTAGTCAGAAATGGTAAAGAGAAGTTTATTAAACACATACTGCTATAACAAAAATCATGAATTCACAAAGGCAAGCAGTCAGAGGAAGAAAGGAATTAGGAAACTATAAAGCATCCTGTAAAAAAAAAACCATAATATTAATACATCCTTATCCATCAATAGTTGCTTTATTTTTTTTTTCATTTATTTTTATTAGTTGGAGGCTAATTAGTTTACATCACTGCAGTGGTTTTTGTCATACATTGAAATGAATTAGCCATGGATTTACATGTATTCCCCATCCCGGTCCCCCCTCCCACCTCCCTCTCCACCTGATCCCTCTGGGTCTTCCCAGTGCACCAGGCCCGAGCACTTGTCTATGCATCCAACCTGGGCTGGTGATCTGTTTCACCCTAGATAATATACGTGTTTCGATGCTGTTCTCTTGAAACATCCCACCCTCGCCTTCTCCCAGAGTCCACAAGTCTGTTCTATACATAGGAGTCTCTTTTTCTGTTTTGCACATAGGGTTATCGTTACCATCTTTCTAAATTCCATATATATGTGTTAGTATACTGTAATGGTCTTTATCTTTCAGACTTACTTCGCTCTGTATAATGGGCTCCAGTTTCATCCATCTCATTAGAACTGATTCAAATGAATTCTTTTTAATGGCTGAGTAATATTCCATGGTGTATATGTACCACAGCTTCCTCATCCATTCGTCTGCTGATGGACATCTAGGTTGCTTCCATGTCCTGGCTATTATAAACAGTGCTGCGATGAACATTGGGGTGCACGTGTCTCTTTCAGATCTGGTTTCCTCGGTGTGTATGCCCAGAAGTGGGATTGCTGGGTCATATGGCAGTTCTATTTCCAGCTTTTTAAGAAATCTCCACACTGTTTTCCATAGTGGCTGTACTAATTTGCATTCCCACCAACAGTGTAAGAGGGTTCCCTTTTAAGAAATCAAAGAGGACACAAACAGATGGAGAAATATACCGTGTTCATGGATTGGAAGAATCAATATTGTCAAAATGGCTATACTACCCAAAGCAATCTATAGATTCAATGCAATCCCTATCAAACTACCAACGGTATTTTTCACAGAACTAGAACGAATAATTTCACAATTTGTATGGAAATACAAAAAACCTCGAATAGCCAAAGTAATCCTGAGAAAGAAGAATGGAACTGGAAGAATCAATCTGCCTGACTTCAGACTATACTACAAAGCCACAGTCATCAAGACAGTATGGTACTGGCACAAAGACAGAAATATAGATCAATGGAACAGAATAGAAAGCCCAGAGATAAATCCATGAACCTATGGTCACCTTATCTTCGACAAAGGAGGCAAGGATATACAATGGAAAAAAGACAACCTCTTTAACAAGTGGTGCTGGGAAAACTGGTCAACCACCTGTAAAAGAATGAAACTAGAACACTTTCTAACACCATACACAAAAATAAACTCAAAATGGATTAAAGATCTAAATGTAAGACCAGAAACTATAAAACTCCTAGAGGAGAACATAGGCAAAACACTCTCCGACATAAATCACAGCAGGATCCTCTATGACCCACATCCCAGAATTTTAGAAATAAAAGCAAAAATAAACAAATGGGACCTAAGGAAACTTATAAGCTTTTGCACAACAAAGGAAACTATAAGCAAGGTGAAAAGACAGCCCTCAGATTGGGAGAAAATAGTTACTTTAAATATAAAGGATTGCATGCATGCATGTAAGTCACTACAGTTCTGACTCTTTGAGACTCAATGGACTGTAGCCCTGCAGGCTCCTGTGTCCATGGGATTTCCCAGGCAAGAATTCTGGAGTGGGTTGTTGTTTCCTTCTCCGCTATTTTCTTATATCTCAATGAAATTCTTAAGTAATTACTATTAAATACTTATCAGAGAAATTGTCCAAATCCATTATTTGGGGTCAGTAACTGAAAATTATTCTCTGTTAATATTTTACTCCTTTGATTTCTGTGTCCCTTGAAGTCTCAGGTTGCTGTGTTTGCATTTAAAGAAGCAGTCACTTCCTCCAGTCTTTACAGACTGACTTGGGGAGGGAAGTACTCTGTCACACTGATGGGGGTTTTGAGACTTTTTCAGACCTTTTTTAAGGATACACCTGTCCCATGTACTCAGTTCTACCTGGGAGAGAATTCTGAAGCTCATATGCTTCTATCAACACAGCAAAGACAGTCTCTGTTTGGACAGTCTCCTGGCTGCTTCCTGGGGGCAATGCCAAATGCTCACATCCGTGTGCTTTCCCACAGACCCACGGGGACAGGCTGGCTTCCAGATGTCCCTCAGACCATCTGCAAAGGCTTAGATGCCACCGTGGGGCCCTACACAAGGAGCTGGCCCTGGGGAGGGGATGTGGATGATGTGAGGGGCCCAGGGGTGAGCAGGACCACAAGCATGGTGTCTGCAATGGTTTGGGGCTCCCTGGTGGGGTCTCCACGTGGTCAGCAGGACCCATGTTCCTTGAAGAATTCTAGCCCTGGGGGCTGTGCTCCTGGCCTCTCCCCACCCCCAGCCATGCAGGTGACCCCAGTGTCTGGACAAGGGGAGAGAGGAGTGCGCTGGAAGATGAGGACCCGCCCTTGTTTACGCGCTCTCATCTCCCCACAGGTGAAATCCTGGCCGAGGGGTCTGTCTTGGCGCTAAGCAGGGCCACTGGGGGCAAAGTGCGGCCCCTCCTCTATGCCCCAGGGACGCGTCCAGTCTCCAATCTTTGTGCTCTAGCAGCTGCTGTCGTGTCCCTGCCAGACTCCTGGACCCACACAAAGATACTCTTATCCGCAAATGACGGTCAAAGTCTGTGTTTGTATCAGGAGAGACAGTGAGACTCCTGCCATCTTTCTGACCTCACGCTGTTACTACAGGTTTCTTCTTTGTGGATCTTTTCCTATTTTCTCGACTAATGTCTATCAATAGGTATATGTACTTTGTTATATAGTTATCAAGAAGTCTAAAGGTACACTCACAGACATTTGTAAACAATAAAAATAAATAGTTCCTTTGGCAAAACAAGCGGTTGATATAAACATTTTGCAGTGGATAATGCAGCTGAGTCTTAAAAAATTATGAACACACTGGGATCTCAGCCCAGTTTACTCACTGACACGGATGCATCTGGCAGGAGGAGACCAGCCATTCTCTGTGCAGGTCATTGTGTTCTGATTATTTTCAAGACTGTAGCCGTCATAGCAGTGAACTCTTACAGTTTCACCCTGTAAATATTTTTCTTCACGACGTGGGTTACGTCCATTCTCCAAATAATTGAAAATACATTGTCCTTAGGATCATAAAAGTAATATGAAAGAAATACAACATAAATTTGGGAAAATAGTATATTAAAGATTAATCTTATAGAATTTACATGAGGATGCGTTAGTATTCAAATATAATGTGTAACAATAAAAATGGAAGTTGCTACCATGTTTGTGAAAAATGAAAAAGATAACATTCCATATTGTCTTCAGTTTTATGATTTAAATATGTATCAGTGATGCAGATATTCTTGTAAAGCCTCTGTATCTCTCACAGGATTTACATGAAAAGCCTGTAGAAAAGTGAAGATCTATTTGGATGTTTCTGCTCATAGAACTCATCCCTTGGCCTTACTGTTGTTACACAACACTTAACTGTACTCACTTATATACTTTTGTCTCTTCACTCTTTCAAAGATTTATGCATATAAACTTAAAGAGGTTTACTTACTGAGGCATGGTTCTTCTGGAGACCATCCTTCTGCTGTGCAAGTCAGGTAATCCCAGGAATATTGTGAAGGAGGCACAAAATACTGATCACAGTAATAGACAAACTGTTGATTCACACGTGCTGGAAAGTATCCTCTGTATGAATAAGATAGCCGTCCATGTTTTATTACTGGATAATTACAAGGTTTCCCTTGGAATAAAAAAGTAGAAATAATATTTTACCCCAGTATACAATCAAATTAGAATTAATGTTTCATCTACGAATTATATTTTTTTCAGTTAATTACACTCATTACATTAAGGTTTCTAGGAAAAGAAAAGTTATAGAAAATTCAGATGACTGAAGTATGTAAGGAACCCTCGCTAATGAAGATCAAATTATGTCTTGTGGGTCATATTATGTAAACTTTGTATGTGGATTCTCCTGGTAGGAAACTATGCAGAGAAGTTGCTCAGTCGTGTCCAATCTTTGCGGTCCCGTGGACTGTAGCCTACCAGGCTCCTCCATCCATGGAATTGTCCAGGCAAGAGTACGGGTACAGACCTATTAAATCAATTCTCCTTAAGTACAGAAGCCGCAACCTTGGTTGACTATATTAACATCTTAATCAAGACATGAAAGTACAGATTTTATCTTGTGGCTCATCTGCCTTCTTTTTCTTCGCTTTCCATTCTCATCAGAAGCCAGAATCCTGACATTTATTCTCAGGCCAGGCCAATATAGGAAGAAAATGGATTTTTTTACAATTACCATTCATTAGTTTACTTCTCTGTTTATTGGAAATATGTGATATATATAGAGAACCACAACAATTTTTCATTGATCAAATCACACAGAGTAACATTCTTATTTATCTATCAAACTAGACATTAAGATATCTTTTCACTTGCTTGTCTTATCAGAGAAATGAACAATGAATAATTCTTAATATCCAAATGGTTAAGATGAAGGAACCCCTTGTCACTTATGGTCTAATTTTAATTGCAGAATGATGTATTTTTCAGTATTTCTTACAAAGATTTCCAATGAGGTATAACATAATTAAATTTTATTGTTATTATATATTGAGTAATTTTCACAAATATGCTTGCTATGTGAATTATAAAATTTGAATCTTTGCATAACTTAATCCATTTCTTTAACAAAGACTTGTCAATTTTACCCTCTCATGGCCTATAGTCTGCATCTCTCATCACTAATAGATTTCCACCACTTTTTTGAAGCTTGTCTACATTTTTAAGTTTGAAATGCTTACATAGTTTGATTTCTCTTAAGTAACAGTCTAGGTTTCTTCCCACTACGTTTTGGAGATTAGAATATTTTTTCTTCATCCTTGAATTTTACAAATTTCATCATGTATGTTAAGATATGTGTATCTTTCAATAATTCTATGTTGGGCAAGTTTGAGTCTTTGTATTTGCAAGAACCAAGTGAAAAGAACTCAATTAACTTTATCATTACATTGTAGAGGAGAGATTTGAGTCCTGAGGATCTGATTTCAGAACTAGTACAGTTATCATTTTGATGCATCATAGAATATGAATACAGTAAAATAATCCACTGAGACTCACTTCCAAAAGGTACACAAAGAGGGCATAATTAAAAGTAAGCATCATTACTGTCACTGGCCTGAGGCTTTTCCTCGTCTGCTCTTTCATTTGGTCACATGTGAATCTGTCTTTATTTCTCTAACCAGATCGTTTATTGAAGCACATATAATAGTCCCCTATAGTTGGAATGGCATTGGCTTTGTCAGGACTCAGAACAGCCTCATTCTTTTCTTACACTCCTACCAACACAGGTTCAGGTCTCATGAGTAGCTTTGGTGGTGCCATCATAATGATGGCTCAGATTGATCTCAAAATTGATGAAAAGTATTCACTAAGTCGTAAAAGTGTTTCTATTCTTCCTATAACTCTGCAACTTACTCCAAAGATCCATGCCCAGGATCTTATAATTTTTAAAATTTAAGTTTTAAATTTCCTCTTAGTAGGTCCAATCTCACACATGGGAGTCATTCTGAGTGACGAATCTGTCCTAATATGGGTTCACTTTCAGAAGCTCTGTATCATTCCAGATGCATCTCCTTTGCAGCATTAAATTAGCTGATGATACAAAAGTGGAAAGGAACAGGTCTGAGGACAAAGTCCTGCATCTGATAGTCAGCTCATTTAATGAAATAATGAATATTGTTAAACTATTTAAACAGTTTCCTCATGTTGTCCACAAGAACTTCACAAGGTCCTTTGTGGGATAACGTTGTTGTGAAATAAATAGGATTGGGTTGATCGACCATTTTCAAAGGGCTTCCCTACGGCTCAGTGGGTGGAGAATCCACCTGCAATGCAGGAGACACAGGAGATGTAGGTTTCATCTCTGGGTCAGAAAGAGTCCCCTGGAGAAGGAAATGGCAACCCACGCCAGTATTCTTGTCTGGAGAATTCCACAGACAGAGGATCCTGGTAGGCTATAGTCCCAAGGATCACAAAGAGTTGTAGACGACTGAGTGACTAAGCACACAACACCATTTTCATAAATCCATCTTCAACAAGATTAAATATTTTTCTTAAAATTCTTATGCAGATTAAAATCTGTTTCATACTGCTGATACCTTCATTTAATGGAACTTACGCTTTGAAAATTCATTTTAAATGTATGCTTGGAATTACCATTAAGGTCATTGAACTCTTTTATATCATTACAGTTTTTTTCATGGAATAACTGGCTTAAGTATACTTAAATTTTACAGTGTACTGTTAGAAAGAGGAGGATTGTTTTAGAGGCAGCAAAGAAGTTGAGGAGTACAGGACGCATCCTCAGAAAATACTCTGTTCAGTTGACCTGACACTCTTCTCTATTTTACGGTTTTAGGAAAGTCCACACCGCCTTCCACACTCCTCTCTTCAAACATTAGAGCCTAAGTCCTCACCACTGAGTGTGCAGGACTTAGTGTCCATTTCTAAAGATCACACATGACAGACATGACAGTGTGTGACCAAGTCATACCTGGTGTGGAGGCTTCCTCCTCCCTCTCTGGGGTCACTGGCCCTGAGGAAAGCGAGCTGTCACTCAAGCAACCTGTGGAGATGCCCAGCTGGTCAGGCACTGAGGCCTCCCCACAAAGCCAGGAGAGTGAGCCAACTTGGAAGCAAAGCCTCCAGCCCAGCTGAGCGTCCAGGTGACAGTGGCCCAGGTCAGTACCCTGGACTGCCACCCATGCATAGTGATTCAGAACCAGGCAGTGAAGCCCCTTCCTCATTCCTGACCCACAGGAGCTCTAAGAACATGGAGGGGTGTTGTCCTACGCCAATATGTTTTCTGGAAAATTTGTTAATTTGGACTATGTGTCTAATACAATGGCGTCCCAGTGGGCACAAGTGGTAAGGAAGCCGCCTGCCAATGCAGGAGACACAGGAGATGCAGGTTTCGATCTCTGGGTTGGAAAGAACCCATGGAGGAGGACACTCCAGCATTCTTGCCTGGAAAATCCCATGAACAGCAAAGCCTCGTGGGCTACTGTCCATAGGGTGGCAAAGAGTCAGACATGACTGAGCAACTTAGCATGCATGCACGCAGGCATCTAATACAATAGGCCCTTTGTGGTATTATTTTTGCTTAATGGCTTAGATCCAGTATTATAATTATTTTGCATGCTAAGTCGCTTCAGCCGTATCTAGTTCTTTGTGACCCCTGCGGACTACATCTTGCCAAGCTTCTCTGTCCGTGGGATTCTCCAGGCAAGAATAGTGGAGTGGGTTGTTAGAAATTTAAATATTAAAAAACACAGCCATATTTTAATTTTGAGTGGCAAAAATTTAAAGAGTTTTTAGATTACAAAAATGTTTTTATTCCTTATTAGAATTGCCTACTTCAAGAAGCAAAGAAAATGCCTCTAAAAGCCCCTAATTAGCATACACAGTAGGGCAGATACTCGGATTTGCCCTACTGTGTAGGGCATTGTACCCCATTGTTGTGTGTTTAAGAGAAAGAAATTTCACAAATAAGAAGGTCAAGATATGAATGGAACATACAGGTACATCTCGGAGCAGGTACCCAGCCATCTCTGGTACACGTTGCAGCAGTTCCATGAATCTCAGGAATAAAACCCTTTTTACACTCATAAGTGATTTTATCTTGACCTCTGTATTTGCTTAATTCAGGTCTGTACACACCGTTTGGAATACGAGGAGGGTCACATATTATTTCTGAAAAGAAAAAAGGTATGTTCACAATATAGAAATCATATCCCTTAAAATAATCAATGATAAAAAATATAAAAGTGGATGTTATTAATTTGTTCTTAGTACAGCACAAAAGTCAGTAAAATGAGCACAGCCTCACACCCCTCCTGCTGTATCACTTACATTTCCCTTCACTGTGTTTCTCATCTGATGTATCTATACCCTCAGTGCTCTTGAACCCTCTTTCTCCACACTCAGTGCACACTTCATGATATTCCACATTTGGCAAAGAATTCATGATGTATCACTTCAGCTATTCTTTCCACTTTCTGCAAGTTTCTTGGCTTCTGTATTTCTCACAAGTACTGCTGGCACATATTCTCCTCCCTCCAGACCCTTGTTGCAATAGCACACCCTGTCCTTTTGAAGTAGACTTAACTACAGGGATTGCATAGGGCAATGAAATGAATGTGGAAGGAATGTTTTCCTTTGGAGAGGGAGTTGAAAATGCCATTGAATTTTCCTATTCTCTTTCCCACAGCTGCAGTGATTAAAGAAGACAATGGGAGGTCATATCTCCATTCCCTCATTCTTACAATTAAAATAATGAGGAGGGTCCCTCCTGACCTATGTTTTCTGACATATTTGTTAATTAAGACTATATATCTAATACAATGGGCTTCCAGTTGGCACAAGTGGTAAGGAGTCCGCCTGCCAATGCAGGAGACATAGGAGATGCAGGGTCCAATGAAGATTGGAAATGAGCATGCGTAGAAAATAAACTTTAGTTTTTTAAGCCACTAAGATTTTGGAGTACATTATTCATATTGTAATCAAATAACCTAATCCAGGTTTCAAAACTCCTCTTTCACATAAAGACTCAGGTGAAAGGTGTCTGTTGTAAATACTGAGCTCCGCCATTGTAGGGCAGAAGTAGCCGTAGACAATACAAATAAGAAATGGGCATGTCGCTGTTCCAGTAAGTCTTAGTTTGGAAATATGCCCGTAGTCTCATTCTAGTTGATTAATAAACCATCACTCATATACCTGGGGATCAGGAGAAACTGAATTAGATAACATGTCTGCCTGCTCCTCAGCAAGAATAATGGTGATGCAGCCTTTCTTATAAGTGATCTGGGGCCTGAGCGGCTCTTAATTGTAACACTTAGGACTGGACAGGGAGCTTTATTGTGCTGTAAATGTTGTTCATGAAGAAAATTGCTAAATGGACTAAAAGAACATGCAACAAATTATGAGATGAATAATGCAGAGTGATGCATATTCTACTCACACCTGGAATTTCATGAGGTATCATAAAACTCATTAGAGGTTTCATTTACAAAAACTTGAAGACAACTGGATTATTAAAGAAAATGAAAGACAAAAACATCATCATGAAGAGTCTATAAGTTTAATTTTTTGGAGTAAAATCTTTGTTTTTAATATGGTTTAATTGCTTATATTAATACATTTATATAATTTAATTTTTTTCATTAATTTTTATTGGAGTTGCTTTAAAGTGTTAGGTTAGCTTTGGCTGTACATCAAAATGAATCACTTTTATGAATATGTATATATATGTGCTCGTTTTTTGGATTTCCTTCCCATTTAGGTCCCCAGACAGCACTGAGTGGAGCTGCCTATGATACACAGTAGGTTCTCATTAGTTATCTATTTTATTCATAACAGCCAGGACATGGAATCAACCTACGTGTCCATCAAGAGAAGAATAATACAGATGAAATGGTACATATATACAGTGAGATATTACTCAGCCATAAAAAGCTATGAAATTGTGCAGTTTGCAGAGATGTGGATAAACCTAAAGACTGTCATATAGAGTGAAGCAAGTCAGAAAGAGAAAAATAAATATTGTATAATATTTCTATATATGGAATCTAGGAAAATGATAGAGATGAACTTATTTGCAAAGCACAAATAGAGATACAGCCATAGAGAATGGATGTATGGATACCAGGGGGCCCAAGGGTAGAGGGATGAATTGGGAGATTGAGCTAGACATATATACACTATGGTGTAAAAAATAGATAACTAATAAGTTTTTTAATTTTTATTTTTAACTTTCATTTTTTACTTTATTTATTTTTATTTTATTTTATTTTTAAACTAATAAACTAGTTTATTTTTAAACTTGTAAGTTTGAAAATAAAAGTGATAAGTTTTTTTTTTACGGTTGTCAACATTTCTATTTCTCTCTGAAAATAATTCTAAAAGTATTGGCACTACACTGGAAATTAAGACTGTATTCCACATTTTGTAAAAGAAAAATATATCTGATACCTAAGCTGGTTTTTTAAAAACCTTAAACTAACAGTAATGTTAATAACCTTCAATAGGTTTATTAAGCTATAATCACAATACAGTCAATTGAACATATTTAAAATGAGATTTGAACCTGTAAAATATATATTTGAACCTGTAAAATTATATTAAAAAAAATAAACATTGTTCTCCAAAGTTGCCTCATATTACAAGTAAGACTCTCCTAAACACTCTGGAATTATAATCTACTTTTCAGTGACACAATTTCTATTCACATTTTCAAGAGCATATTCACATGACCCCATAATCTACATAGAGTACCTCTTTGCACTGTGGAACTCAGATGGCATAGAAAAGTATTCATTTTCTTTTCCCCTCTTAGGTGAATATCTGATCATTTTTCCATTAAGATATCCTTATGTTTGTCTCACAGTGCAGACTATTTTAACCAGTTTACTTGATCAAAAACACACACAAAGGAAAGTAGACAGTAATATTTAGGAGGAAGGCTGAGTGTTCACATCTGTTTCCACTTACCCTGTCCGTGAGCAGTGTAAAACCACGAGGTGAGAAGGACATTGATTAACAACAACATGTTAGATTTTCCCAGTGGTGCATTCACACAAGTACTCCAGTTGCACTGTTTAGGGTTCAAAATCTGCCTCATTTTCAGTTACCTAGTGTGACTGAATTTAAATGCATTACAGTGAACCTAGTTATTAGTGCCATTGTGTAAATATCAAAGTTCAAAGTTTTGAAATGACCCTAACTTGTTTCTGTTGGTAGTTTCACAATAAGCTATTGTATTCATCACCTGATATCTATGTGCACAACTTTCTGTGGTTAATATGGACTGGTTGCAAAGCCATATATCAGATACTAACTTTCAATAATATATTTTAAGAGAGTAGGTGAAGTTTTTCAAAGACATTTGAGTCATCCGTATTTTCATGGGTAAGGGAAGTGAATAGATTAAAAAAAAAATATATATATATATATAGTATAGCTTAAAGACAGTCACAAAAATTATAGCACAATCCCTTTATTTAAATGTTATTTATGTGTGGGTTTTATGATTATCAATTTTCCCAATTTTGATGACATATAATTGTCATAAAGCACTGCATAAGTTTCAGGTGGATGGCCTAATGATGTAATTTACATATATCATGAAATGATTATAGCAATAAGGTTTGTGAATATCCATCATCTCATTTAGACATAAAATTAAAGAAATTTAAAAAAATTGTGATGAGAACTCAAGACTTACTGTCCTATTAACTTTCATACTTAAGATACAGCAGAATTAATCATATTAATCTTGTTGTACACTGCATCCTTAGTACTAATCTATCTCACAGCAGGAAATTGGTACCTTTTGACTGGCTTCATCCAGTTTCCATATCTCCAGCCCTAGCCTCTGGTAACCACAAATCAGATCTCTTTCAAAGTATTTGTTTGTTCTTTTAAGTACAGCTGGCCTACAACATTGTGTTACTTGCTGTTACACAGTGTAGTGATTCCATGTTTCTGTCCATTTCAAAATAATTGCCACAGTAAGTTTAGTTACCATCAATCAAGATTTTTTAAATTGCATAATTATTGACTATATGGGCCACACTGAATATTTCGTGTTTCTGACTCATCCATTTTGCACCTGGAAGTTTATCCCCTTAACCGCTCCCTCACCAGAGGCTCTGGAGTGCATTCCCTTAAAAAGACACATACAGAACTGTTCATTGCAGCTTTATTCATAAACGGCAAAAATGCAAATGGTTCCCATAAACATTCAGAAAATGAATAAGACATTTGTAGCATTTTCATACAATGGATTCATATTCACTAATTTAGAAAACAAAATGAAGTACTGATATAGACAGCAGCTGGGGATAATCTCACAGCTCTGGTAAATGGAAAAAAATCAAACACACTCACTAAGTACATATCTTATAATTTCATTGGTAGGCATTTCAAGACATGGAAAAGCTCATCATGAAGGCAGTGCCTATGAGATAAGGTGTCATACAGAATGGGAAGAGACACAAGGAAACCTGAAGATGTGCTGGACATTTGCTCAATTTAGTTCTGGGTAATAGTTACACAGGTATACATATGTGTTAAAAAATCATCAATCAGAACACTTAAGATTAACTTTACTTTAGGTATTTAGCTATTTGTATGTTTAACTGTGCTTTAAAAATTACCATTTTCAGAATAAAATATAAAGTTAAAAGTTATTGTTTTTCTTCAAAAGTTCATTTCTCAGTGAACCCAAACCTCCACTCCAAAAAGAAATAGTGTAGCTATGGAATATGGAGAGACTTCAGTAGGCATGAAGGAACATTTGGGATGATGAAAATATTCTACATCTTGATTATAGAGTAGTTGTATAGAAGTATTGGAGAAGGAAATGGAAATCTACTCCAGTATTCTCGTCTGGGAAATCCCATGGACAGAGGAACTTGGCAGGCTACAGTCCATGGGATCGCAAGAGTTGGATGCAGCCTGTCAACCAAACCATGACATAACTATATATATATTTTATAAGACTGATCATATTGCATATTTAGAATAGACAGGTTAAAAGTGTGTATTCTGTAAAGGTAATGAGAAGTTCCTCAGAGCTCTAGGTGATTAAAAGGAAGGGGGAAATAGAAGGACTTTAGAATTCTCCAAAGAAACTAAAAGACCAAGGCAATAATAGAAGAGCATTTTCATAAAAGTTAAAAAAAGAAAATGAAAACCAAGAGTTTTATATCCATACAACCAGACAGCCAAGTATTAGACTACAGAAAATATTCTTCAATGTGTAAGAACTCACAGGACACTATTGATATACAGATGCGCACATTCCACGGTTATAGCTACATGCTTAGTCACCCAGTCATGTCTGATTTTTGCTATCCTTTGGATTATAGCTGCCAATCTCCTCTGTCTATGAGATTTTCCACGCAAGGATGTGGGTGAGAGTTTCCATTTCCTTCTCCACGGAATCTTCACAACCCAGGAATCAAACTAGTGTTTCCTGTGTCTCCTGCATTGCAGGCAGATTCTTTAAACGTTGAACCATCAGGGAACTGCCTCCATGCGTGTAGGGGGCACCTTAAATATGGACTCTACCTTATTCCACCTGAATGAAGGGTTCGAAAGAATAGAAAGAAGAGATAAGAAAGCATTCTTAAGTGAACAATGCAAAGAAATATAGGAAAGCAATCGAATGGTAAAGACTAAAGAACTGTTCACAAAAATTAGAGGTTCAAAGGGAACATTTCATGCAAAGATGGGCACATTGAAGGATAGAAACAGTTTGGACCCAACAGAAGCAGAAGATATTAAGAAGAGGTGGCAGGAATACAGAGAAAAACTGACAAAAAAGGTCTTAATGACCACAATAACCATGATGGTGTGATCGCTCACCTAGAGCCAGACATCCTGGAGTGTGGAGTTAAGTGGGCCCTAGGAAGCATTACTACAAACAAAGCCAGTGGAGGTGGTGGAGTTCCAGTTGTGCTATTTCAAATCCTAAAAGATAATGCTGATAAAGTGCTGCACTCAATATACCAGCTAATTTGGAAAACACAGCAGAGGCCACAGGACTGGAAAAGGTCAGTTTTCCTTCCAATCTCATGGAAAGACAATGCCAAAGAATGGTCAAACTGCCACATAATTATGTTCATTTCACATGCTGACAATTTAACGCTCAAAATCCTTCATGCTAGGCTTCAACAGTATGTGAACTGAACCTAGACATCCAGATCTATAAGCTGGATTTAGATAAAGCAGAGGAACCAGAGATCAAATTGCCATCATCTGTTGGATCACAGATAAAGCAAGGGAACGCCAGAAAAACATCTACTTCTGCTTCATTGACTACACTAAAACCTTTAACTTTGTGGATCACAACAAACTGTGGAAAGTTCTTCAGGAGATGGGCATACCAGACCACCTTGGAAACCAGTATGCAAGTCAAGAAGCAATAGTTAAACCAGACATAGAACAATCAGCCAGTTCCAAATTGGGATAGGAGTACATCAAGGCTGTATATTGTCACCCTGTTATTTAACTTTATGTGGAGTAAATCATGCAAAATGCTGGGATGGATGACTCACAAGCTGAACTCAAGATTGCCAGATAAATATTAAAACCTCAGATGTGCAGAAACACCACCTCTTTGCAGAAAACAAAGATGAACTGAAGAACCTCTTGATGAAGGTGAAAGAATAGAGTGAAAAGGCTGGCTTAAAAGTCAACATGAAAAGGCTTAGATTATGGCATCTGGTCCCATCACTTCATGGGAAATAGATGGGGAAACAATGGAAATAGAGACAGACTTCATTTGTGAGGACTCCAAAATCACTGACAAGACTTATTGCAGCCTCAAAATTAAAACAACAACAAAAAAACATGCTTGCTCCTTGGAAGAAAAGCTATGACAAATGTAAATAGCATTTTAAAAAGTATCACTTTGTCAAAAAAGGCCTGTATAGTCAGGCTATGGTTTTACCAGTAATCATGTACGGATGCGAGAGTTGGATTATAAAGGAGGCTCTATGCCAAAGATTTGATGCTTTCAAACAGTGGTGGTCTCCTGAGAGTCCCTTGGAGAGCAATGAAATGAAACCAGTCAATCCTAAAGGAAATCCACCCTGAATACTCATGGGAAGGACTGATGCTGAAGCTGAAGCTCCAATACTTTGGCTACCTGATATGAAGAGCTAACTAATTGGAAAAGCCCCTGATGCTGGGAAAGATTGAGGACAGGAGGAGAAGGGGTTGACAGAGGATGAGATGGTTGGATGGCATCATTGACCCAATGGATATGAGTTTGAGCAAACTCCTAGAGATAGTGAGAGAGAAGACAGCCTGGTGAGGTGCTGTCCAAGGGGTTGCAAATATTGGGACACAAGTGACTGAACAGCAAGATGAAGCTTATTCCACCAGATGGCACTGCTCAGTCTCTAAAGAAGGGGGTTTTTTGTTTTGTTTTGTTTTGTTTTTTAATTATTTGTGGACAAGGTAAGAACGGGCCTTGGAGATCAGAAACTCTTTTTGCTCTAATATACATTTCAAAAGATGACATGGGAAATGGACAATATCATGATGCTATACATTTTTAAATTTTTTTCCAGAGCTTAACTGAAATAAGGATTGGGGCATGGATAGACTTAGATTTGTGTAAATTAAATAGTCTGCAAAGTAGAAAGAATGTAACCAAATCATGGCAGGAGAAGGAAGAGATGAGGGGAATATAAACACTGACCACTGAGAAGTAGGTGAGTGTTCAAACATCCCACTTACAACTGGCAGCAAGATGTCAAATAGTTGAGTGTAATGAAAACAGGAATGGTGTTCTATGAAGTGTACTATACAGGTTTAGACATATAGAAAAGACACTAAACTTTCTCAGATAACAAAGTAAATGTAAAAGCACAAGAGGAAAGAGGAGTGTATATATTTTAACATAAGATCCTATAGCAAAGGTTCCACCAAACATGAGTCATGTCTATAAGCATGTACAGTGTGAAATTATCTGTTAAAGAAAGAAAGCTAAGAAAGAAAGTTAAGTCGTTCAGTCTTGTTCAACTCTTTGCGACC